AAAGCTTATGCCCAAATAAATCTGTTAGTCTTTAAGGTGCCACCAGACTCCTTGTTGTTTTTGTAGAATCTCAACTATACACCAGAGATGATCAGGGCAAAGGGAAAAGAGGAAATTAGAAAATAAGTAGTCTTTGGCTTTGGGAAGAGTTTTGTTATCTGTGATTTTGCTAACTGCTCACATGATGTTTGCTAACCTAAAACAGACCACGCAAGTGAAACTGGAAGACTGGAAAAAAAAAATCACTCAGGAACCTGTAACCTTCTTACACAATAACAGACAACAGAGTAACCTGTTTATTTTTTCCTTACATTAACATGTTTTATACCATACCCCCAAAGGATCTGAACACAATGAAAATGCCACTAATAAGATTTGGGGGATTGTAAGAGACAGACCTTTAGTGTTTTCCCCAGGAATTGAAATTACAGAGGGTGTTCGAATATATGGGGGAGGGGGGAGGGAGAGTGAGGACCGATGAGGGTTGAGACTGCAAGGGTGAAGGTGGGCTGTATGGCATCATAATAAAAACTGAAAAATGTTTCACAACCATTTTATTAGATTTAACTCATGTTTTAAAATCATCCCAGAAATTAAAGTTGGCTACTCAAGCCTACTATGAAGCACAACAACATCTACATCCTTCTTTGTTTCTTGTTGTAATTTTTTTTACAACTCTTTGGTGTCTTCTTGCATGTCCGTTACTTCCAGTTCTTCATGATATGCTCAGGATCAGGCAGAAGGCGACTTCTTTCAGAACACAAAATTCTATTCAATGAGGAAAAAGAATGCTCAATTGTAGCTGTTGTGACTGGGAGTAGCAAAAGATGAATTCCTACTTCTTTCATCCCAGGAAACATAGCACAAAGATTGGGTCGAACCACTAGTGATGATAAAGAAGAAGTCGAAGTTAATTCTTCATTAGTTCGTTGTATGATATTCCTCTGTGTTCAAAATTTTCTATTCTGTCATGATCACATGGCAGCCCCATTCTGGTAGTGCCTCACTCCACTCAACTGTACGTGTTTTATAAGACAGGTATCTATAAAAGCTACATGGAGGCGGAGTAGAATCCAGAAATCCCTATTGTAGATTTGTAAGAATCAAGTCTGTACTTTTTCAGCTGGCTTAACAAACACTTCTTGTCATCGTCACTTATGGAGTCAATATAAGTACCTTTATTAGTCAACTTCTGGACTGAAGTCTTTGTTTTTTCCAGTACATTTTCAATGGATATTTCTGATTGATCCAAGGGTAGCTTCTATTGATGGACAGAGATCTATTACTGTTGTAGCAGATGCCTGGATGGCATTGTTTAATGACTCAAGTGGTTTCAACAGTAGACTTACAAGAGAGAAAATGGCAATAGTCTTCTCTGAACTTAGTAACAAAAGTAGCCCACCAACCTCACTACTTAGATCTGTCCTATCTTGTTGGATACTTTCCAAAGCCAGTAATAACAGTTGCAGTAATTTTAAGACAACAGCCAAAAATCGCTCATGAGAAAGCCAGCAGGTTTTCCCAGGTTTGTCTAATTAGAACTTCAGTCCCAGTGTATCTTCTATTTGTTTCCAAGACGTTCAGTCCTTTTGGAATCTTGCTGGGAAAAAAAAAAAAAAGAAGTATAAAAGAGCCATTACCTTTATATCTTTTAATGAAGATTCTGCAGCTTGTACTAGCGCTAGCTGGAGTAGATGGCCTCTGCAGTGTGTATAGGAGAGATTAGGGTTACACTTTTCTCTCAGCAAAGCTTGTGATCCACCATGTCTTCCAGAGAAGTTTGCAGCTCCATCAAATGCATAAGCAGCCATCTGTTTGGGGTTCAATTTATAAGCATTTAACTCTTCTAAGATGTCACAGATGCAGCTGATGGTGTCTTCTATAACGTGAACATCTAAACTGTATCTACTAGCCTATCACGGACATCAAGATAACATACACAATGACGTAATACTTGATGCGTATTTGCATTGGTGCATTCATTAGCCATGTATGCACATTTTTTGAATATGGTGAGGGAGTTCTTCACTTTTTCAGTTGCTGAGTCTTTCATTGTTGTACCGCATGCTTCTAGAGAGTCAGCTGAGTTGTTTTTTCCAGAAAGGTAGCGAGCATTTGCCAGTCTTGTTTGAAACCAGTGTCCAACTTCAGGATTAACAAGTGACAATGCACTTAACACTGACCTCCAGTTTGCAGTGTGTGGTATCTCTTGCTTAAAAAGAAAGTATGATGCAACAGCCATGTTGGTTCACATAAACTGAGTTGTGTCTCCAGCATTCTTAACAGTCTCATTAAGTTCTTCTAAAATTGGCTTTGGCAGTGACTGGCTTATAAGGCTTTCGGCATGTAGATGCAGTCCAGATGCATGGTGTTTTCCAGCCTTTTCATATAGGTTATCAGTATTGGCTTAGCTGATCAGTCTGGCAAACCAAGCTCCTCCAATTTTACTATATAAATCAATGATATGCCCACATCTTGAATGTGCAGTTCTGATCACCCTTCTCAAAAAAGATATATTGAAATTGGAAAAGGTGCAGAGAAGAGCAATAAAAATGAGTAGGGGCATGGAACAGCTTCCATATGAGGAGAGATTAAAAAGACTGGAACTGTTCAGCTTGGGAAAGAGACAACTAAGGGAGATATGACAAAGGCTTATAAAATCTTGACTGGTGTGGAGAAAATGAATAAGGAAGTATTATTTACCCCTTCACTTAACACAAGAACCAGGGTTCAACCCAATGAAATTAATAGGCAGCAAGTTTAAAACAAACAAAACTAAGTATTTCTTCACACAACACACAGTCACCCATGGAATGGGGAATTTTGCCAGGGATGTTGTGAAGGCCAAAATTATAACAGGGTTTAAAAAAAGAACTAGATAAATTCATGGAGGTTAAGTCCATCAGTGGTTATTAACAAGGATGGACAGGGATGCAACACCATCTGTCTCTCTAAACAGGAGAGAGGGGCAGTCAAATAGTGCCTGTGACTCTTAGGTAAAGCCCACACCACCAAGCAAAACACCTGTGTCCCACCCTCTCTCTCTCTCTCTCTCTCTCTTTAACTAGGATACAGCA